TGATTTCGCTTTCACGTTTTATATAATCCTAAAGTTGGAGGAGAGCGTGATCAAGGTCGTATTAATGAGATTCCTGTTGTAAATTAATCGCGCGACCGGTTACGAACGCAAATCGTCGCGCTCTGTCTATCACACATGTGCACGCGGTCTCTATATACACCACGGTCTATCGGCCGATTGACAACGTCTATTGTCACACGCTGAATCCGGTAATGAAGCATGTTGCAGTATGCACGTGGGTGAGGGAGTAAGGAGATAAGAGGGGAACGAGGAGAAATGTGCGCTGGTTTGCAGCAATGTGCGTCGTGTACCACGATATTAATTTCCGAGACGCGGTGGAATGTGCACTATGATATTACGTGCAATTTATGTAACAAAATATATGCATGTTATATGTTTGCATTGCCGAAAGGAATGGCGTTGGAACGTAAGTTCAGACATTGTCTGAACGTGTTATATTAACGTGATATATGTACGTTCTGCTTGTATGCATAAATATTAATAATTCAAAGTAATTCATATAAGTTGCATAAGTAATGATGATTAAATTAAATTGAATTTAGTATGTGCAATTTTTACGTTTCAAGTTATTATTACGTGTTTAAATTTTAATTTTATTAAGTTTTTCTCTCTCTCTCTCTCTCTTTCTCTACTTTATTAAATATTAAACGACATTCGTGCTACGAGTAAACATAATCAGCGCTTGATTTAATTTGAACAAGTTAACTATTGTTATTATGAGATTTTTTTACATAAAAAATTAGTTTTGTTACAAAACATAAATTGAGAACTATTATTTTATCATTTAAACTTTTTACTTTGTTATTTTTTACCTTCAAGTATAAAAAGTAATATTATTAAGAAAGAAGAAAAATACGTAATTTAGCTCGATGAAAGAAGGAAGATGCGAGAAAGATAGAAGAAATGAGGAGAGGGAGCGCAACTTACGCAATTACCATGCAATCAAATTTTCATTCGTCTCTCTTTCGCGGCTGCTGTAAATTACAATTAATGAAATCATCAACCATGGAGTACTGACGTCAATCGCATGCAGGCAAAAGGCGCTAGCTATCAAGGACGCCCAGGGCTTGCCCCTGACGACTTTATAATTTTTATCCTTTCCTGGCATATACTAGAATATGTTGCTTTACGCGCTGACGTGTTTGACACGTTCAAATCAAATCTGCTTACGAAAATCTTTCCTTGCGACCAAATTAGCTTTTCTTAATGTACGTAAAACACGTGTTGCTTTCGATAAAATTAGCACTTGCAGATTAGATATACATATACAGAGCTTATTGGAAACGCAATTTATTCAATTTTTCAATGGCTTTAGTAAATTGAATATTAATTGGGTAAATAATCTTATAATTATCATATTAAGTATTATAATTATTGTATTCAGTTAAAGAATTTTTGATTATGGTATTGTTATGCTTGATTATGTGAAGGTTTATATGAAACATATTAAATATATTTTTATTATATTATAAAATACATAACAAGACATAACTTCTTTTACAATTTTTCACAATAAGTTTATAATTTTTGCTTGAAAAAAAAATAGTTCTCTGCGTACATAGAATTGTGTCAATGAGATGAATTATTCGTAAACGCACGTTATTATGTTATTATGTTATTATGTTATATCTATTATTAGTGATGCAAAATCACGTAATAATAGATATCATTTACAATTGCATAACCATTAATTTCACTGTTGTATGACACTACATTTAATTAATAAGATATGTTTGTTTTGTATAATAAAGAATTAATATAGTAATGCATTTATATGATTATAGTATATTGAATATCTATATTATTTAAATAGATTGCAATTTGCGATTGGTGGAGTTCTGTAATTTATAAATTTTATATAAGTTTACGCCAATTTGTTGCAATATATTAGATATTAGAATTGTTTGTAAAATCGAATTTTGAATATAGGAATTGTTACAAGAAATATTATTACCTTAATAATTACCTTAAAAATTCATGTTTTTTAGAAATCAAATTTTTTTATTCCACGCATTATGAACTATTAATTGTATTTAATTCATTTTTTATTTACAGGAAAATCCATCTGGCAACTCGTTCTGGAACAGTTCGATGACCTTCTAGTTAAGATTCTTCTATTAGCTGCTATTATTTCTTTTGTAAGTACAAAATGTTACAAAATATTATATTAAAGAATTATAATTAAATCTGACAAACTTTAAACCGATATAAAAGTTTAGGTAGTAAATAATTCTTTTTTTCGAAACAAATGCATCTTTGAGGAAGTAAAATATAAAATAATATAAATTAAACATTAAATATATATGATCGGTATTATTATTAATTACGATTTACGAAATACGGTTTACGTGTAAACGTTAAATCTTACAGAAAAATTAATGATAATGCTAAGTGAATTCCGATGCTCTTTTTCTTGTCGAATTTTCTTTGTCGCATGCTACTTTGCTAAAAACATCGTAATTATATGTTTACGGGGGTTCAAGGGTAAATGAGGCTAAATATATCTTCGACGAGAGGTGAAAAAATAGCATATTGATTTCAAGTAGCCATGGTGATCTGATTTTCTCTTAGCGCGTAAGAGAAATGTGTAACATTCACTATCTTGAGTTTGATCTATAAATTGTGGAAACAAAGTATGTGATTTATCACTACATTAGATGTAGTAATAGCATAGGGAAATGAATTTTATCTTGATAATATCTGTCTTGAAAAATTGATTCTCTTTTTGATTCTTTATTTTCTAACGTATATTTATATATATATTTCTAGAAATGTTCTATAAATTTTATTCTATAATATCGCTGCAATGACTAAAAGAAAGAATTGCTTATATTTCCTTACTGGTTTATGTAATTATTTATTTTTATGGAATTCCAACTGTCATTTAATTTCAAGATGACAATATATATAAATGAATAGATAAAGTTATTTAACAGTCTGCTGAGAAATATAAATTTAATATATTCAATTTTTCTATTTTTATTTTTTTATATGATTTAAATCTATAATCGATTGCCTATTTCTTGACAGGTATTAGCCCTATTTGAAGAGCACGAGGATGCGTTCACGGCCTTCGTCGAACCCTTCGTTATCCTGCTCATCCTCATTGCCAATGCTGTGGTCGGTGTCTGGCAAGAACGAAATGCCGAATCTGCGATTGAGGCGCTCAAGGAATATGAACCCGAAATGGGTAAAGTTGTACGAGGAGATAAATCTGGCGTTCAGAGGATTCGGGCTAAGGAAATCGTGCCCGGTGACATCGTAGAGGTGTCTGTTGGCGATAAAATCCCGGCCGATATTCGTTTGTCTAAAATTTTCTCGACTACGCTTAGGATTGACCAGTCCATCCTGACTGGAGAATCGGTGTCTGTAATCAAGCACACCGACCCTATACCCGACCCACGCGCCGTCAATCAGGTAAAGTTGCAGCTGTATAAAAACATTTCCGCTACTTTTTCTCAAGTATCAACGTTATATAAAAATTTATATTTGAAAAAAAATTATAAAGAATATAGAACTTTCATTCATAAAGTTTATGTTTATTGTGATCTTTGGTCGTGTTTATTATGGTTGATTTTTAAGAACATTTATTAACAATTATGCTGATATTATTTTTTTAGGATAAAAAAATATCCTGTTCTCTGGTACCAATGTCGCCGCTGGAAAGGCTCGTGGTATTGTTATTGGAACTGGCTTGAATACAGCTATCGGCAAAATCCGTACAGAAATGTCGGAAACCGAGGAAATCAAGACACCATTGCAGCAGAAGTTGGATGAATTTGGTGAACAACTGTCGAAAGTTATTTCTGTGATTTGCGTTGCCGTGTGGGCTATTAACATTGGCCATTTTAACGATCCGGCTCATGGTGGTTCCTGGATTAAAGGTGCCATTTACTACTTCAAGATTGCCGTCGCTCTCGCCGTAGCTGCTATTCCCGAAGGCTTGCCCGCTGTAATTACAACTTGCTTGGCTCTGGGTACTAGGCGTATGGCTAAAAAGAATGCCATTGTACGATCTTTACCATCTGTAGAGACTCTGGGTTGCACGTCCGTCATTTGCTCCGACAAAACTGGCACTCTGACGACTAATCAGATGTCTGTTAGCCGGTAAGATAACTGAATAAATAAAATTACTTTAATATAGACGTTATTCATGAATCTTAAAATACACAGTCATATTTTCTTTTTCTAAATTAAATTTTTATTTAAATAAAAATAATTTTTTTTAATATTTACAGAATGTTTATCTTTGACAAAATTGAGGGTAACGACAGCTCTTTCCACGAATTTGAGATCACTGGATCGACTTATGAACCTATTGGTGAAATCTTTTTGAGGGGGCAAAAGATTAAGGGGCAGGATTATGAAACACTACAGGAGATTAGTACAATCTGTATCATGTGCAACGATTCTGCTATTGACTTCAATGAGTTCAAACAGGCGTTCGAAAAGGTCGGCGAGGCCACGGAGACAGCTCTGATCGTTCTCGCGGAAAAATCAATCCGTTCGGAGTTTCGAAAAGCGGTCTGGATCGCCGAGCTGGCGCTATTGTTGTCAGGCAAGATATGGAAACAAAATGGAAAAAAGAATTCACGCTGGAGTTTTCTCGTGATCGCAAATCTATGTCGTCGTACTGCGTGCCTCTAAAGTCATCAAAGTTGGGATCTGGACCAAAGCTGTTCGTTAAAGGTGCGCCGGAAGGAGTATTAGATAGGTGCACGCATTGTCGCGTCGGTGGACAGAAAGTTCCTCTTACCTCAACCTTGAAGAATCGTATTTTGGATCTGACTCGTCAATACGGAACTGGTAGAGATACTCTGCGCTGCCTCGCTCTCGCCACCGCCGATCATCCGATGAAGCCCGAGGATATGGATCTGGGCGACTCCACTAAATTTTACACATACGAGAAAGATCTTACGTTCGTAGGTGTAGTAGGCATGCTCGACCCGCCTCGTAAAGAGGTATATGACTCAATTGCTAGGTGCCGCGCCGCCGGTATTCGCGTAATCGTCATCACTGGTGACAACAAAGCCACTGCCGAAGCTATTTGCCGACGTATCGGAGTTTTCGGTGAGGATGAAGATACGACCGGAAAATCATACTCTGGACGTGAATTTGATGACTTGCCGACATCGGAACAGAAAGCAGCTTGCGCTAGAGCTCGCCTCTTCTCCCGCGTAGAACCAGCTCATAAGTCTAAAATCGTGGAGTACTTACAAAGCATGAATGAAATTTCTGCTATGGTAAGTAATAGTATTATTCATTATCATCAATATATTATACTTTCTTCCTAATCTCGATACAATTGAAATTTTTAAAAAGGGATTTTAACATTATTTTAGCATTATTTGAGCTATATTTAAGATTTTTTCACTTTAATTAACGATGTTAATGTAAAACAATTTTTGTTTATAAAAATTTAATAGAAAAGCAAAATAATTATTTTATTCTTTTAGACTGGCGACGGTGTAAACGATGCCCCTGCCTTGAAAAAGGCTGAGATTGGTATTGCTATGGGTTCTGGCACTGCGGTTGCTAAATCAGCTTCGGAGATGGTGTTGGCAGATGATAATTTCTCTTCCATCGTAGCTGCTGTAGAAGAAGGCCGTGCTATCTACAATAACATGAAACAATTTATCCGTTATCTCATTTCTTCCAACATCGGCGAAGTCGTTAGGTATTTATGAAATATATGAGATACAATGAAGAAAATTAGAATTGAATTTTTATTTTTATTTGCTTTATTTTTACTTTATAGTATATTCTTGACTGCCGCCCTCGGTCTTCCCGAAGCACTGATTCCAGTTCAACTTCTGTGGGTCAATTTGGTTACTGATGGTCTTCCAGCCACTGCTCTCGGTTTCAATCCTCCCGATTTGGACATTATGAACAAGGTAATGTAATAATTATAAAAATATACCATCATATCATCAAATTCAAGTTTTATTGATACATGCGTTTTTTTATAGCCTCCTCGTAAAGCTGATGAATCTTTGATTTCTGGATGGCTATTTTTCCGCTATTTGGCTATTGGTGGATACGTAGGCGCTGCCACTGTGGGTTCAGCTGCTTGGTGGTTCATGTACAGTCCGAATGGTCCTCAAATGAATTATTATCAAGTGGTAAGTTTTGCTTATTATTTATATCCAAATTATTTGAATAATTAATATTCATTATTTGCATAAAATATAGACTCATCACTTGGCATGTATCGGTGGTGGAAGCGAATTCAAGGGCATCAACTGCAAGATCTTTTCCGATCCTCATCCCATGACTATGGCTCTCTCTGTATTGGTTACTATTGAAATGTTAAATGCCATGAACAGGTGAGATGGCATCAGTGATATTTTTCACATAAGAATATACATAATTTTCAGAATTATAATAAAATCCATGTTTCTCTATAGCTTGTCGGAGAATCAGTCACTCATTACGATGCCACCTTGGTCCAACATGTGGCTTATCGCCTCCATGGCTCTTTCCTTCACACTCCATTTCGTCATCCTGTACATCGATGTTCTTTCAGTAAGTGAACGTTTATTGTCGTTATATGTCGAAACTCGAAGCAAATAACGAAGGAGTTTTTATTTTTTCACCTTGAAAACATTATAATCAGTTAAGAATGTTGTTAACTTTTTTGTTTCAGTCCGTATTCCAAGTGACTCCGCTAACGGTGGAAGAATGGATTACCGTTATGAAGTTCTCCATTCCAGTGGTACTTCTCGACGAAACCTTGAAGTTCGTTGCCAGAAAGATCACAGACGGTGAGAATCCAATTTACACCGTGCATTGGATCGTTCTAATGTGGGCTGTGTTCTTTGGACTGTTGCATATCTGTCCCATATAGAACGTCCGTGAAATAATAATATTAGTCTAGCAGACGATGTTTTTTTCCTATGGAAAAGCATCCGCGACTAAATCCTTGGACTCGCAATTGCATTTAATTGAAGCTCTTCCCACCGTGACGCGGGAAGACGCGAGATAAGTTATTAACAGAGTGCGTTCAAGTGAGATTTTAACAAGTTTGACTGTTGTGCATGGTGTTAGTACGATTATATATGAAATACGCCACCAAGGCCCACCATGCCCGCATCACACACCGTACCCTGACGTCGCTCAACGATCACGGGTTTTGAGTGGCATCGAGTGATCTAAGAGAGACCCCGTCGTAAATCAAAGATTGTGATCGTTAAATTATTTTCTACGAGTGCCTTTTAAACATTGAATTTCCTCTGCAACAAACACGAAATTGTTTATAGATGTTTTTTCTGATATAGATATGTTTGATGACGTCCCAATCCTCCTCCCTTTATTGCACTATTATTTATATTTTTTTTCTTGATATGCACGTTTCGATATAGTTAGCAACAGATAAATTATTTTGTAATCGTGGCAGATCCTGGCAATGCACTAACACAGTTAAGACCCACAGTTTATTTATGCATGCCTTTTCATCTGTGTCTTTTTCTGCCGATATTAATCTTATAAATTTTGATATCTTTGCATGTTTGAAGCGTACAATTGATCTTGGTCGGTTCGAAAAGTACAAAGTTCGCTCGCTAACCATACCGGGGATCGTAACTTGGGTTTCGGCGCAAATGAACACCATTTAACACATTTGTAACGTGTCAATCCTGTAGAATAATACACATATTTACACAACGAAGACAATAAAACATTCGGCAGAAACACAGATGGAATGGATAATAGTAGTTGTATTATATTTGTCCGTTGATTTTATTCTCAGACTGAGTTTAATGCACGCACGCAACAAATTAGCACTACATTTGGTTAACATGCGATAATCTCATTTACTAATCTTTTTGCATTCACATTTCTTTTCCGTTGCTTTTAATGTTGCTTGTTATAAATCACATTTATTAATGAATTCTTAGTGTCTGGTGTGCCTGTTTCGACTCCGAAGTCAGACCTGGAGCTGTCTAAGCGTTTGCTGAAATTTCAAGAAAATGCGAGGACTTCGCACTAACGGATCTCATTTTGTATCCTGCATACCGTGTCTTCCTTCCCATAGAGATAATGCATGCACGGTATAATTAACACAGCACTTTGTAAGATCCTTTCTTGTTGTAATCTATTCTTTTCAATTATATCCTCTGCTGTGCCACGCGATCAATGAATATTTTGCGCGCGATTTTTACATTTATATCACATTATGACGTACTCTTAACATTTATAAATAAATAGAACGAAAAACTTCATTTTTATTAATGTCTTTGTTAATTATTCTACATCGAGACTTTGTGTCGTACGTTATTACGAATACGACAAATGAATAAGATTTTATAAATATCTAACGATCAAATTTTTTAAATTGTACAAATAATTGATAATTGAAAAATCACGAAATAAGCAACAATCGTTAGTGTGAATTGCGATTGGTACAGCAGAGTTTCTTCTAATTTCTCGCATTGGTTTGCGAACACGACATCTCTCTCCTGTGTGTATAACCCATATGTGTGTGATTTATATGTTTGAAAGGTTTACGCAATGAAATAGATTCGCGTAATCGCTAATTTCCGGATATGGACTGCAAAGGTTCGTAAGTGTAAAATAAGGCAATCGTTAAGCAGAGGAAAGTAGTTGACTTCATTACCTCTCTCATATGCTCGAAACTGACGGGGCAGTCCATAGATTTTCTAGTGCGTTCGTTTGTGTTAATATCTGAACAGTGTTCCGAACGCAAAACACACTCAACGTCGGGATTGATTATCCGTTTTTATCAATGGTGATATCAACTAGCTACATTAATTATAGAATCAATTGAACGACACATAGATTTTTTTTTTAATAAATTTATCTTTGATAATATTTAGTGATAGTTAGGCACATCTATTTTCTATTCCTTGTGCTCCCGAAAAATTTCTAATAATCATATTTAATTTCTTTTTTAAATGTGGAAGAATTATCGTTTTCTCTTGATATATATAATAGTTATCTCATAAATTATTTTAAATAGTAAAAATTATTTAAGATGTAAACGATTTAATTTGATGAATTGATTAAATTGAAAAAGATCGTTTTTTTTTTTATCGGCAACGAAGAAATCTGAGGGATGATACGCTAAATATACTTTTGGATAGACAATTTGACTAGTAGCTTTTTCATGTACAGAATTGCGTTAAGGATCGGCGATAATCCTGCTTCATTGAATCGTGATAGTTTTATTAGTGGAGTTTCATTGGTGTTTAAATTATATACGACTTTCCTCATTTTCTTACTTCCGATGTCACAGTCTCAGATGATGTAGATATCGCCGATCCTCCGAATTTTTGCGTTGGGAACAAAGTCCCTAATTAGTCGAGGATATTTCTCGATTGAGTGAACGCGAGTTCGGTCACTGCCTTGACAACACGCGCCACATAAGTGAATAATCGGTGTCGTCACGAGTACGTGGGCCTTCGATGTATCTGGCTGCTTAGTCAGTTCATCCCTTAGAGCGCCCTATCGGCGAAAGCGATCAAGCTAATCTAAGATAGAAAGATCAAAATCAAGAGAGTGTTGATGCTCAATGCACGATACTCGTCTCAATTCTCTTTCTTTTATCGGATTAAAGATCTCGTCTTTCACGACAACATTTCTTCTCTCTGTTATATCTTTAATTAGAGAAAAAAAAAATAATTGACACGAAAAAACAAGAGCAATGCCGTCTCGTGAAAGGCGATTCGCTTTCGTCGATAGTTCCACGATCCAAGACATCATCCGGATCTTTGTAGAGATTGCCGTGATTCGGCCGTTCGCGATTCAGCGCGCGGGACGCAGCGCGCGAGACGCTTCTCCGCAAAACACGTGCAAACGCAACAAGACTGACGATGTGTTCCGGAGAGGAGCGGACGCGCCCGCTGCGTTTTCTTTTCCCCCTTTTTTTTTCTTCTTCATAATTTAATTGCGCACCCGGCGCTTCAGGAATCGGCCGCACGCGGTCGCGCGGCGCGACATTGTAATATAATTAATTAATTAGTAACGGTTAAGGCGTGATACTTTGGTATGGGCATAATTAAAACTTAATCAGACCGTTCGAGTTAGCGCTACCGCACTAACGAACTTATGTCTCGAGTAGTTTCGTTCCGAGTAACGCAATTTCATTTTTAACGTGAGATAAGCTACCGACTTGCGTCCTGCGATCGATACCTGTGTCCGCGATTTACGCTTTTAATGTCACTTAAAAAAATCCCCGCTCATGGATGAATTCCGTGGCTTGCAAGCGAGTTAACAATAAAAATCATACGCGATATTTCATTATCAATTGTGAAAGAAACTCGTTCTCACAATCGCGTTTGCCCGTTTCTCGTACGAAAGTTAATCGAGATTTTTGGCTTGATTTCGAATTTCCTTAGAGATAATCTCCGAGTCCTGTAACTCTTGCCGTTATCGTGTTTACCTACCGTGGCGCAGAACAATGAATGCCTTGCTTATCCGGATGTTCGAATGCACATTGATAATTAACGCGATTATCGGAGCACAGGTATGCGCGCGCGAGGACCAATGCCGGTGCAAAGAGTCTAATGTTGCAGTTCTCTACGACGCTCAATAAGTTCGACGAAATTAATCGGAGAGACCGGATGTAAGAAAACCCGAGCGATAAATCTCGATAACGCGCGAAGCAAACAGCCCTGAATTTTTTTAATCATTGAACTTAAAGATCCGGAAATCCGAAGCAACAGAAATGCAAATCTGTAAATTTGAGATATTTTTTTAAACGTATTTATGTATTCGTACGGTTTCCTCGGGATTTGTCGCTTATCGTTCTCTCGCATCCGGGTCTTCGCTTCGTCCATGATGTATCTGTAAGTACTTGAGTGTGCATTGTATTTTATGTCTTTTTTTTTGATCGAGAATGACGGGGTAGTGCCATCACGACGAAAGAATACTGCGCGACGTCACGCAAATATCGATGCGATTACTTAATATCAAAAAAAGTGCAATCCATATTATGTACAATATATACTTATATAAAGAAAAAGAAATAATTTATATTTATTGTAGGTCTTTTCACATATTATATTTATTAACGATAATTTATTAATAAAATGTCAATGTTAATTAAGTCATCGTAGATATTTTTCATTGATCCTTGTGTGACGTTGACAATCAAACGCGGTGTCCAGCGATGATGAGACTACAATCGCGTCGTTTCCTGCAGGAAGTACCTATTTCTAACGATAATAAAGTAATATTAATAGTAATAACTTATGGAATACTATATGACATCGAGTGATTTGGAGGAAATATTCGCCGCGGATGCGATCCGCGGTGAAAGATAGCCAAGAATACAATTCCGGGTGTATAAATCAGATTCGTAGAGACAGAAATATAAAAAAAATGAAAGAAATAGTGAAAAATAAGAAATTGTATACACGAATCCCATTGTTACGCGAGTTACGATCCAGTTTACGCATACGATAAGTATAATTGTGTTATTATTGTGTAATTATTGCGCCATTCCCCCATATTGGCGTTCGTAATTTGTTTTATTTATCCGATTTGCCTTTGTCGTGTATTCAATTTGAATTCATACGGAGCGACATTATAACAAGTGAGAATATATGACGATGGAATAATATATAATGCATTACTTGTTATAATAAAAGAATCATGTGTTTACTAATGCGTTTCTCAATCCTCGACGATTGGCCTACTAATCGAAGCAGGTGTGGAATAACTTTTGCTTCAATTCGGCAGTCGCTGCCGCGTGCATTCCAACGAAAAAAAAAATCGAACACTTAATACGACACTGACGTAATAAGTGTTTGATTCACTTTTCCCCGCCTAAAACCATTTTAACTATTTAACTTTAACTTTTTCTATTGTTGTTTGTTATTCACTCCACGATATTCCGAATGTAACAGCTGGCTTAAAACATTTAGACGTTAGTGGGTCAGAGTTACATGAGACTTCTGAATATTCGCTTAAAAATCAGAAGCGAAATTAAATCCCAATTTTATTCGCATTTTGTTTCTTTATAAATAAAGAGCTTAAAGTTTTAACATTTTTTAGAATTTTATATATATTTATTAAAATTATATGGATGAAGAAAAGTTTAATCAGCTTATATGGCTTTCTAGAAATTTAACCAAATAAAATCAATAATTTTGAAATATACAATAAACATTTATTATTTAACAAAATTGTTACGAGCGTTATGGCCTACTTATCCAATGATTAAGGCAGCTCTCTGCTTGTATAACCCTTATAATTTTTCAATATAATAAATCAAAAGGTTCGCAAGGACTTGTCAGTGGGGACCATCTTGTACAGCTCATCACCGTCGCACAATATGTGGAGGCAAGATTTCGGAAAATAAAACACACTACGTGATGCCGAAATTTTTCAACACAACGAGTCCACGACGAATCTTTTTATTATCGTGGCTACTGTGTGCCCTATCTTTTCCCTCCCTCGCCGCCCCTGAAATTTGTTGTTTGAAGTTTTGCATGCGTTCACTGGAAAAAGACCGATGTGATAACTGTCGTGTCGATCCGGAATGATCCAAGTCCTAAAAATCAAGGATATTGAAAACATCCCCTGACACATCGCGTGACCTCGTCACCCCCTCTTTTGCTAACTTCCCCCTGCCTGCTGGTGTGCCAAACTGTACAGTCACGGAGAGAGCTATCTTCGAGGGCGACTACGCTTACAGGTGGACGATACAGGTAATGTTGAATTTAAAAATTTACTGACAATGTTAACGTTTAGTTGTACGCTGTACAATGATACATACGCCGTCCACATACTGCATTTTGCAAACGAACGACTTAGGGGTGGCAGTTTCCTCTATCTTTGATGAATAAAATTGTGATCTTTTTTATTATACAATGTATACATTTATTCATATAATGTACATTCCAAAAAAATTCAGGGAATTATGGGAATTATTATTTCTTTTGTTTTTCAATATGCGCGCGTGCACATTTCAATCACTTAAAACTTAGAATTATTTCTCGCTTTTTAATATCTCTTATTTATAGCAGTTACACACACACACACACACACACACACACACACAATTATTTGCATATGATTTATATGTAAAAATACTCTGTTTTCTTCACGAATTTACCATAATATATCTGTACACACACGTACTCACAAATGTGCTTATTTTTAATAATATCTCAGGTGTGATAGTTGATCTCTTCTTTGTGATTAATGATTAAGCTGTTCCGCTAGCGTTAATACATCGCTATCACCAAGGCTTGCATCGACTAATGGCTGCATCCCGCTCCGTAGATTTGGACGAGAGGCGCGTGGCTTGCCATAGCTGAGCCAGCGAGGGTGGCTTAGCGGTGTGATGAAATAATCGATATTACCCTCGTATGATTGCAGTGGCACCGCCGGTGACGCCGAAATAAAGCTCGAGGGGGCGTAGGGCGAATCTGAGAGACACCTAATCGGCCGCAGCCGAGAAATCGGCGACTCACAGCACTCACATTACACTCTTGAGCTGCTGGAAGAGACCAGAGACGTCTTTACCTAACAGCCAAAAAAAAAATTTCCCGAATGAAACCATAAAAAGTAAAACCCTCCCGACACAACACGCACCGCAATAAGCACCACCGACTACGCACGTATATATGCACGCGCGCGACATGTTGGCATGTGCACGTTCGTCTGCGTGGCGATCGGCGATCCCTCGATCTCCCGCGGAATGACAAAGAAGAAAGAACAGAGAACGAATGTACGAATAGTTTTATGGCGTTTTTACTCGAATGTTAATTGTTCAGTCGCGTAACATCTGATCTACCTGTGCGATTGACATTACGCGCCAGTAGGTTTCTAACAATGTCATGATTGTGATGATAAGCAAATAAGAAAATTGGATTTCACTTAAAAATCGCGTCGAAAGCTGTATTTCATTTTACTCGTCATTACTCCATTATCGATACGCAATATTCTTTCTTTGCAGAGAGAAATAGATATATATATAGCATACGTCGATTCAAAACTACAACGATCTCGTCCCGACCATTCCTTTTCACAAAGGAGATCCGTACATTCGTTCGAGCGAGTCGCACCCAGTTAATCCAATTAATCCGAGGACTGATCGTTTCAGACCGCTGAAGTCGAGAGGAAGATGCCGACTTGAGAGAGCGCTGCTAAAACAGCCTGGCCGTCCAAGTTTTTTTTTCATTTTAGTTCGCCATTTTAGGTCTCCGCCGCTTAATCGTTCTCGTGTGTGTTATGTTGCAGTAAATGAGGTGGTCGTCGACAAGTGGGCCCAGTAAATGAGTGGGTCGTCGATAGGCATGATCCCACTCCGTCGCTGCTGCCATCGAGCGCGCGAAGCAAGCTCAACTCGAAAATTAAAAAAAAAATGAAACCAAATGAAAATAAAAAGATGAATGAATAAAGGCGTGAAATAACCGGCACGCTTGTGCTCCGTAGAGCGTTATAGTAACAACAGAAACAGCAGCAACGCATTCAATAACCACTTAGCTACCTGCCACCCTGCAATTCGGGAACTTCCCCGATCGCCGGCTAGACGCGCTGCATCGCCTCGCCGCCGCTGCTTTCATTCTTTTCCATCTTCTCTTCTCCCTCTCCGCAAGATCGCTGTGCACGAGGGGTTGTTCGAGTCGAGGTCGTCGTCCCGAAGCCGACGAAAGCGAAGCGAACGAACAGCTTTGGGAATACTCTTCGTCTTCGGTGTCTAGAGCTGCATTAACGTTCTTAACTCAACGACTGTGCCTTCTTAGAGCCGATTGCATCAAGGTCGGTCAATGCTAATCTCGATGGAGTCACCTATCTCTGTCTGTACAAGGTGTCATTTATAATTACACATTAAAATTATAAGAAAAGGATTCATCGTCGGTGCTTCATTAAGAACCACAATTATTTTTAATTATTTTTAATTTTGATTTTCTTTAAACGACTTTTAACGATCTTTTTTTTTCGAACAAAAAAAAATTCTCGTTAATAAAAAATCTGAAATAATTGAAAGATCCGAAATCAGTGGAGTAAAAGACTCCTTTTATTTAACACCTCGTATTGGATAGAAATAGAGTAAAAGATTAGTTGACTCAAACCATCAGTGCAATTTCAGCCTTAGTTTCCTACCCGAGTGAGGAACGATGCGATATAACTGATCGCGAGAAAGTAGAGAGAAGCGTTCCCTTTTTAACTCTCGAAACCCGAAAGGTGCAATTAACGCACATAATGCAACTTGACGGCCACGTCCAATCCTTTCTGCAGATCCAAGTAACTATTAATTAATCACATTAATGCTTCCGAAAGTATTCCGAAAGTAATCAAGATGATATCTCGCCCGAAGTTTTCGAGCGAAAAATTCTGTAGAGTAAGATCGTATTCGACGTAAAATCAAAAGGATGAACTGATTTTCTCGAGAATCATAAATTTAATAATAAAAATAACATTAATAATAAAAAGACAAATTCAATGTTTGCTTTTAACATATTTAGGTTTGCATCATTTCACCTCATCGTCTCTTTTTTACCCTTCTCTCTGTTCGGAACATTTTTAGATGTGCTATATTTCTCGCTATTTTTCTTCCTACCTCTTTTCCGCGTCGCTTTACCGATATGGCGTTCTATCGTTTTTTCTCTTTCCTATTTTTCTCTATCTTCTTTTCACATTTTTCTTTCTTCTTACTCCG